AAAAAAAAAACGTACGGAAAAAAAAAAAAAAAAAAAAAAAAAATCGTACGAACTTCCTCCAACAATAGCATGATTTTCCCACCGAGGACACAATTCATCCGCATTTACATTCCACGTCTTTACCTAACGAACTAACAAACTAACTAACTAAGCATGCTCTATATACGATATAGAGCATCTATTCAAGAACCAAGTGCCAAGTACGTTGCCACTCGCTCATCTCCTACCGACGCCTTCTTCTGGGACTTCCTTGCCTTCTCCTTTAGGGATGCTGCCATGGCAGCCACATCCGCCCCAGCTACTGTCCTCTTATTACCCCCTCCCCCTCCCTCTCCCTCTCGTTCCGGTTTCCCATCAGCAGCAGCAGCGGATTTCCCTGCAGACTTGGGAGGAACAAATGCCTCTTCCCTTTTCCTCTTCTTTTCCGCCACTCTCTCTGCCTGCTTCTCTGATTTGTCACTCCACTTTTTCACTCTCTTCGCCTCTTCACTGAGGAAATACTCTCCGCTTTCCAACTGCAGGTCGATCTTGCTTGGCTGCTGCGGCGGCGGGAACGGCGTATACGCCTTCTTTTCCTTCTTCTTCGCCGCCTCCTGCTTCTTCTTCACGTTCCTCTTCTTGAACTTGGGAAGAAACCTCTCCCAATTCTCCTTCGCCATCTCCGGATCCTTCGCAAGCTCCCTTTTAATCATCAGCGCCTTGATGTGATAGATCGGGTGAACGTTCTTGATACAATCCTCGACCACTCGCCTCACCACCTTCAGCCCCGTAAACGGGCCCATGGCGGAGACAGTGTTGCCCTGAACCAGAATATAGCAATTAGTCAATAGCTCGATGGCCTTAAGAGTGGAGCCGTTGGGGCCAATCAAGCGCTGGCGCCGTTTCACAAACTTCTCCTTATTTCGGATAATGCCGCCGATTTTGATGATGTCACATTGCACGGAATCGTCAAGGATCTTGAGAGCCTGGGTGACGGGAACACTCCGGGACAAAAGCTTGATTAGATCCCTCGCCTTCACGATGATGAAGGGGTCGAAGGTCTTGCGGGTGGTGGAGACGGTCATGGATCCTTCGACCAGATTGAGCTCACACGCGATACCAACCTCCTTCAGAGCCTTCTTAACAATAGACCAGACATCTCGCAAATACTTCTCGCGGTATTTGGGAAAAAGAGTGGCAAAGGACGTCTCCTCCAGCAAGCCGCTCGGATTATGACTGGGTTCGAACTTCTCGATCTTCCAGTGATCGATATCTTCCGAGTCCCACGGCTTCTCGGTCTTGTGCTTACCCTTCTTCTTCTTCCCCCTTTCGCCACTAGGATTCTCGTCTCTCTCCCCCCCCTCTATTGCCTCCTTTCCCTTCTCT